CTAAATAATACGAGTTGGAATGCGAATTGGAATTTGTGAATGAGACGTTCGAAAAATCGTAACTAACTCTATTGTTAAACAGGACGTATGGTGTTAAAAGAAATAATGGAATTGATGACTATTTACAGTGTAAATGATGTCGTCTATTATAAAACAAAAACTTTAACAAATTGTTCCTGAACCTCGATTTAGACAAAGATGGTATTCCGACAACTCTTTCGGCTTGTGTTCGCGCGAATATATAACATACATTCTTTTTCTTTTTTTTTATTTTTTCAGGAGATGTTACAATTCGTTTTCGAGCTTTTGCGCTCTACTAACTAACACGTATAGAGAAATCGTTCTGTCACAATTAAAAGGAACAATGTCTCTCACGATATGTGATGGAAACTCGCTAAAATAAATATGTATCTTTCGTTACTTAATAATTACTACAGCAAACGCAGTACACATCTACTGATTTTAGAGACCGATGCAATCAATTTTAACTGTCGATTATAGGATTAGCGACGTATGAGATGTCTCGTTAGTGTCTCATGATGTTAACGAACGTATGTGTGTGTTATTCTGTTATTATTATTATTACCATCATTATTATCATTATTATTACTATACAACTTCCTTTTCATCCGAATGCTTCCAAGAAATCCACGCAAGCGGATTAGATTAACGAACTAAAACGCCCGTGTTGAACTTGAAAAACGAGAACTACACCAAGATTCACACCACCCGTTTATCACAATGACCAATAGTATGAACTTCTCTCATGATATCCATTTCAGTGTCCATTTCGTAGATATCTATCTTATAGTATCTATGTATCTTCGTAGCATCGTACAAACGGGCGACCACGAATCGAATGAACTCTCGATCGTTTCTTCCTTCTTGTTCGTTTCCGTTTTTTTAACTTCATCGTGCCTTACGGATCGATCGTATCTTACGGACTTTATCCTACTTCCAGTGGACTACTCGAGAGTCGCTGCGAAAGAAACATTTCCTCCGGAAGCAGCTGCCGCGGCAGCTAACAACAACGTCGGTGGCAATGGCGGAAGTGGCGAGGTTTGCTCAGTAGGAGTTGAAACGGTCGTTGGACAATTATTGGCCACACCATAGACTTTTGCGTGATTGACTTCGAAAGCCACGGTCAAGTCTGCGAGTCCAGGATCGCACAGCACCGGATTATCTGCAAACAAAAAAAAAAAAAAAAAAAAAAACATCGCAAAGGGGAGCTTCTTTTTTTTTTTCTTCTTCTTCTATGACGTATA